ACAAAACAATATTCAAGTATTTTTAGTCTCAATCTAATTTGCCATAGAAGGCAAATTACTTGATTCCAACCAAACACACTTTCCAGTGATAGATGGCCTATAAACACTTGTAATAAACAGAAGCAAGCAAGCTTCTCTCTTACCAAAAAAGATTGTTTACGCCTTGTACAAGTTGCAAGAATTAACCTTCCTAAGACATAAGAATCATGAATTTATTTATTTAAATCAGTTTAGCACTTTAGAGGGAAGAATTGACATTTCTGATCACCAGTAACTGCAGAGAAACCCTGCCCCTCAGACAGCACTACCCACACACAGCTATCCCAAAGCACCTTACCTCACCCTGACTGCTCACTCTTTGCTCAAAGACCACAGTTATTACCAAAGTCTAATAAGCAATAACCTATTTGGTAGCGCTGTGCTGTCTTGCATAAACTGACAAATTCATTACTTATTCTAGCATCTGAGTCAAAGCTCCAGTGAGTGAAAGCCTGGGTAAGGAGCCGCATAACACAAGCACAGTGAAAATGAATTCTCAGGAGGAAAGGTACATATTTCAACAGTTTACTCAAGCCTCATTTAGGAACATCTATGTGAGGTCACAACAAAATTAGGCTTATGAAGGCATTACACAGTCATGATGACCTACACAACCTATGAGGTTAGGAAGTACGCATTAAAAGGACAGTCACTGTACAGCTGTAATCACCAAAAAAAAAGAAGAAAAAGACTAGGCAGAGAAGAGGCTTCTAATAACATATATATAATTATTATTTGTTTAGAAGCTAAAAGCAAGCTTTGGTGATATACAGTCACAAATTAATCATGTTTATGTTAAATGATTCACCATTTGATCAAATGTTTAATTTTAGTAGACAAAACTGAGAAAAGAGCCAGATTGGCATGGCAGGGAACTGATGATACATAAGTGCCTGGAAAATCCAGACTCAGAAATAAACTCTGGATTGGGCCTGCACAGAATGCTTGGGGCACAATGTCTCATCACACATATGATGCACACAGTGTCAGAGAAAGGCAGAACAAATGGTAACATCCTGCAAAACCCCTGCTGGCATATTCTCAAACAGTACTGCCATCAGTTTTAGGTAACTACAATACTTTATAGTTGCCAGAAATAAAACAAAATGAAACTAATCATACTGTGTTTTCAATCAACTTCCAGCTGGCTGCCACCATTTCAAGAATCGAATTCATTTGTTTTACATCCATTAACATATTTCCTTCTTTACTGGTTCTGAGAGACTCATTTCAGTGGTAAGGGGTATCAGTCTGGACCATAAGAAAAAAAAGCAGCAGTCACTACAGTACACATAGAATTGTAAAAGTATTACCCTCTCTGAACTATATACTCCTTCACAGTATATGGTTTTACCAGCCAAGGAGCATTCTAGCTTACAAGTCCCATATACACATATAACTGTTTAATAGTAAAAGCCTCGGCCCTTTGATGAGCTATATACAAGCAAAAACTTTGTGGAATCCTTTAAAAGCCAGAGAGGAATTGCCAACGTGTAGTTCATTAAAGGATTATGCCTCATCTCTAATAAGCAAAATGGCTTAACTGGAATATATACATATAGTAACATCTTCATGTATTTATTAGCTTAGAGTTGAAGATTTTATATATGCTATAAAGTGAAACAGGTTTCTGAAATCTACTAGTCTAAGAAAAAAACCCAACATTACATGGTCTGTTAATCAGGAAAAGAAGAAAGAATTTTTCCAGACCACAAGAATGAGAAGTTAAGCACAGCATAAACTCTAGATAAAGTAACCTAAAATAACTCACATACTGCACCCTTTCCAATCCTTGTACACTAACACTACTCCAATAAAAAGCAAAACAGCTGCAATTGACTAAAGATACAAAAATAGGAGGGGTAGCAAAATATTTCCAAACAGTAACTTGTGTGAATATAAAAATATAAAGATGATTTCAGTGCTCCATTCAAACTTTACTTGAGCAGAAATGACAGACTGGATATTCTAAAAAGAAGGGCAAGTCTGCACAAGATTTAAGGATGGATTCCATGATCTTCAACAAAAGGTAAGCAAACATTTACTGGTGACCTTAGACAGATGCTTCAGAAGTTCTGAGAAGTCTCACTCACACCTCTCCTTTCAGCTGTTACTTTTTCAGTCTCTTAGATCTCAAAACATCAAGAGTTTAGTAGTTTTCTAGTCACTAGAGATTCTTAAAACCTACAGGATCTGAATTTCTGATACAAAGCAGGCATTTTAAAAGAACCCCTCCAACTTTAATGCAACTAGTCTTCTCCTGTAATCTCTTTGTATGCCACCACTATGCTCATGCATCTCAGGAGCTACTTCTATCGCTGTTCACAAACAGGCAAGTTTTAGCCCAGAAACCCCATGACTTACTTCAGTTTTAATGCTTCTTTCTGTATTTTCCTTACTGATTCGTATCTTTGTGGATTACTGCAGAAGAATCCTATTGCACACAGTCCTGGCTAAGTATTATATCAAAAAAAAAAAAATCATCTTTAATAATTGGAAAAATCTAAACATAATTATTTGATCTCCTGAAACCTGCTATCTACATGTCTCAGGCTCTCAAGAACTTTCAAAACTTTTCATAGCCTTAAATGCCCTGCACATAAAGAGTAAATACAGCCCTATTATTCCAAAATGTGACTTTACAGACATATAAAGATGACATGAAAATCACAAATAAGACTGTCCTAAGACATGCTGCTGGCAATAACCCTAGCTGACATTGCAGAATTCCAACTTCAGACACATATAAGGCTTTTTGCTATCAGGATTTACTTTCTTCAGAAAGCTGGTACAAAACTAAGACCCCTTAAGTATTCCTGCCAATGCAACTGCACTAGAACGGCATGTCTGTAGAGATTTACCAGTTTTCCAAGTACTAGCAAGGATTAAGTAAATAGGGACAAGAAGACTTTTTCTTCAGGACTGAGAGTACCATCAAACTCTGAAAGCTGACAGCACAATTTGGGTTTTTTTGCAGGGTTTTCTTTGGGTTCAAGTGGAAAAATAGAATCATAGAATCATGATCTTCTAGTTGCTGTGCACTGAAATGAACCTGGAAGACAACGGAAAAGCAGATTAATTTATTCACTGTATTGGTGGAGAAAAGTGTTTTTCCAGTGTTGCCTTTCAGAAGTATCTCACAAGAAACACTAATGTTTCTTGTAACCAGGGGGCAGAGGGAGGCAAAAAAAAAAACCTTTTTGGCAGCTGCTTGTTCAAGGGATATATATGCTTAAAAAAAAAAAAGAAAAAGTAGCAGCCTTAAAGGCAATGGGTTTCTTGAGAGCTTCCTGTCACCATTAAGCCGATCCTTGAACACAAAGCACCAGATTTCCTTCCCATTACCGCAACACACTGAACCAGCCCAAAGAAAAAGTTCACTTTTAACTTTCTGCAACTCTCCCTTCACATCAGTACCACATTACAGGAGTTAGTACACTACATAAGATACAGCAGCAACTTGCTTTCCACGACATTACAGAAAACATCAGGCCCAAATATGGGAGCCTAACAAAACAAAAATAAACAAAATAATTTATTGTATATTTATAATCTGTCTCGCAAAATCACTCCCAGCAGTGCCATGGCATTTGCTGCCATTCAGGCTTCTGTCATAACTCAAAAATGGGATTTCATTCAAAATCCTGCCACTCCAATAAACCAACCAAATGTACAGTGACATTACTAAATCACCCTTATTGCATCTCTTTTCTCTCAGCCTCCACTTCCCCAGAGTACCTTAAATTGTATGACATAAATCCCAAGAAGGTACAATCACAGACAAATGTAAATCTCAGGTGGGCCTTCAAAAGTCTATTTAGTCACATATTCCTTGAAATGCCAGTAAATAAGAACATTAGGGACTAATGCTCCTGATATACATTAAAGATACTTTATGATCATGTGTATCTTCCAGTATACATTCTACATGCTACACCTAATTAAAAAAAAAAAATAAAAATCAATACTGGAAACATTTTCAGACATATGATCCTAGAAGTGACAGCAGTTTAGGCAAGGAACAGGCTTACTTTTTTTCACCTTTGAGAAACAGGAATGACCCTACTTTCTTCTTCCTAAAAAGGGATTAGCCGACAGCTAAGGAGGACCTTATCTATTAGGAACCTCCCTGCCTTCATGAGGTAGACACACAAGTGTATTTTTGTCCTTTGCATTTCTCCTTCATTAACTATGCTGCCCTGCGCTGACCTGCCTGAGAGCTCCCCGTTCCCGGCCGCACGGCAAGGATGTGTCAGGCGCTCTGCTCCAGGACCCCAACCCGAGCACTCAGGGGTCCGCGTTATCCACTCCTCGCCTCTGAGGACCTAAAGGCAGGCCCCGCAGCGCAGCCCGCAGCCGTCTGTCCCCCCCGCAGCCCAAAAGAAGGGACTGCCGCTCCAGAAAACCTGCGTGGCTGAGGAAGCGATCAGGCCTTCCCCCAGCGAGCAGCCGTGAAGGCCGCCGCCGAGGGGAGCGAGCGGCGGGGGAGGCTGCGGGGCCACCGCGAAGGGCCGGGGCAGGCCAGGCCCCCCCGCGCCCAGGGACAACGCAGCCACCTTTCCGCCTCACCCCCTTCCTGCGTGACCCGCTGCCTCCAAGCAGGAGCCGCCGCAGCACCCACCCAGGCCCTCGACGCGGCACACCCGGCAGGAAGGGGGACACCCCTTTGCCCTAGCGGGCACCCCGTGCGGCCTGCCCGGCAGGGACCAACGGCCGCCCCGCCCCAGGGCGAGCTGCGGGCTAGGCCCCCGTGACAGGGCCGAGCCCAGGGCTACGACCTGGCCCGGCGCCCCAGCCGGCCCCCCCCTCGCCAGGCTAGGCCCGGCCAGGCCCACACCCAGGCCCTGCCCCCGCCCGGCCGCGGCCCCCCACCGCCTCGCCCTTCCCCTGGAAGGCCCCCTCCCTCCCCCCACCAGCCCAGCTCCAGCCCAGCCCCCTCCTCGCCCCTGGGCCTCGCTTACCCCCAGAAGCCGCAGGGGCAGCGCGGTGGCAGGCTGGGCGCCTTGCTGCGCTCGCTGCCGGCGTCTCCCATGGTGGGGCCGGGGCGCGGGGCGGCGGCAGCGGCAGGCGGGGGGGCGCGGGGTTCCCAGCCGGGATTCCAGGCCGGTCAGCTGGAGCCGGGAGACACCACTGGGGAGGTGGTGGAGGGGCGGCCGCGGGAGGGGGGCGGCCGCGCCCTACCGGTCGGGCCCGCTGGGGAGCGGAGACACGGCGCGGAGATCCGTGCGGAGGCCCCTCCCGCCCGCCGGCTTCTGTGACGACCCCGCTGTGGCAGCGGGGTGCGCCAGCCCTCCCCCGCCACTCGGCCCCTGACTCAACAATGCGTCCCCCCCGCCGGCGCCTTGCCTCCCCCTGTCCTTGAGCGGTTTGGTTTCGCCAAGGCACCGGATCAGCTGGGAGTGGCATATACCATAGACTATCCCCGGGTGAGAGCTGAGTTAGAGCGGGGACGGTAACTAGGGAAGACGCAAGTTGGGAAAGCGTCCATAGATTTGAGAAGGGAACGGGCTTCTCTGAGGAGGCTCAGCTGGGGCTGAGGCCTTCAGGGCTGCCCGGAGCCGCTAACCTCTTGTGGCTCTACCCGCGCGTTACGCACATGGTGGTACAGCCAGGGAAGACCGGCGCGGCGGGGGTGCCGGTGCTGCCCGCGCAGGCGCGGAGTGCGTGCGACGCGGAAGTTGGTCGGTGCGAGCGGGTCCCGGGGGGTCTGTGCTGCATGGCGGTGCCTGCCCGGGCCGCCGCGGCAACACAGCTCTGCGGAGGCTGTCGGCCGGGAGCTGCCTCAGCGAGAATGGACTGATTGTTGCCAGCCCGGTGTGCCGGGGTTGGGCAGCCTGTGAACACCCGGTGTCTTTCCCTGGCCGGTGGCCGCCTCTGAGGAACCCAGTGCCGGGGTGTGAGGGACGGACGACGGGCACACAGGACAAATCGGAGGACGGGACACTCTTCCCCGTGGGCTCCCTTTACTTCCTCTCTACTGCGAGCTGGGAGGGAGGCCGGGAAGGGCCCAGAGGGCTCCATCTGCTCGATCCTGTTTATTCTGTAGATGTTCGTTCTCAGTTTCCCTGAAATAAAACCTGTCAGGTGTCTGACGTACTCGGGAGGGGTTCTTTGCCTTTGGTAAACGACACTCCCTGCCGGAGGACACTAAGCTGAATGCTGGCTGAAGCTTTGGCGCCGGTGTTTTGGTCCCAGGGAAAGAGAGGAGGTATGGCAAGCAGAGAAGAAGCGTACAGCGGGCACGGTGCAATGGCTGCGCCCTTTGATGGGTAGGAAAGGTGAAGGGAATTTCCAGGAAATGGACTTGAGGGCTGTACTGGCTTGAGGGGATTGTACTTCTGGTACCAGTTTAGCAAATGGCCGTAAGTTACGATTTGGCACTTGAAGTACCTTGTTTTTTTCTGTGAAGTGGAAATACTGCTGACCCCCTGCTAAAATTGCCTTTTTGATCCAAGTGAAAAATGCTATGTGGAAAAATGCTGGTGTGGTAATAATAAATGTGCGATTTTGATACATTCTTGACGTGCTCTTCTGTATCTTATACTTTGATTTTGGCTTCACAGAAATCAGGGTTATTTAACGTTGGAAATAATAAGTATGCTTAATAAAGTCCAGAGTATATAGTTTCTGTGATCAACTAATTCTGCCAGTGACCCTTCGAATATTAACCTTTTTTAAGGATTTTATATCAAATTAATTCTTGACAGAGAAAAAAGTAATGGGATACATATACACACATGCTTGACTTTTTAATAAAAAGCTTGAATTTAGTTGAAATGATGTGAACAGACTTCTTTTGAAGAGACTGGTTTGTGACAATTTACTAGGAAGGGTAGTTTTATCTAACTAACTGTTGAGTCTGGGTTTACTTGGCTCTCTACTGATGCATCACATGGGCCATTAATGCTCCAGTACCTCAACAGTCACTGCTCTTCCTCAGCAGCAGCTTTGAAAGCAGTAACGTTATTGGGTGTGAGACAGATATGGTACAATAGAGACAGGATGTGTATTGAGAGTTTTCATTCACACGTTGACTGGTCCAACTGGCAACCCTCTTTAAAGCTCCCTAGATGCTTTCTCAACTATTGTATAAGCATTCCTCTGGATAAATAAATGGATAAACAGCACTTAGGAAGCGTATGCAGAGATATGCACCATATTAGTTGGATAAGATTGTGAATATTCGGACACAGGAAGTCATCATGTGGCTCAGGTATAGCAAAGCGTGTTTCAACCTTGGGAAGTTTCAACCTCTTTCAACTCTCTCCCCCATTCATTGTAAACATGCATGGGGGAGGAAACCTACTTAGTGGTAGGAAAGTACCTTGAAGAACAGTGATGCCAGAAGAGGAATAGTGAGCAACTACATGACGAGAGAAACAGACAACGTAATTTTAGTTCTACACACCTGAATGAATGAAAAAGATGGGGAAGGTTGTAATCCTTCTTAATGAGACTCTAGTAGCCCTTTGGCTCTTTACCAGCTATCCATTTGCAGACAAATCAGAGAGAATGCACTGTAGAGCAACCAAAATACAACCTGCAGACACTGAAATACTTGAAAAATCTAATGTTTACTGTTTGGCCTGGGAACGTTGCATATAGGGAGAGATCCCAAGCATACATTCTTCTTTAAAATTATAAACAAAAAAGAGGAAGATATTTGCCAGCAGGATGCAGAGTGTAATAGAAGTTATGAAAGAGATGTCTCTAAGGGGAGAAATGCTTAGGACAAATACAAAAAATGTTCTCATGTTGAAGTATGATTTTTACCTCTCACTGAGGTGCTTTTGACTCATTCTCAATGGGGCCCTGTTGCAAGATTAGATGAAGTAACAGACCTCACAGGTCCAGGAGGCAAAACTCTACCAGATTTAGAAGCAACAATTAAATACCATTGTTTCTAAAGCGCTTCCCCCCCCCCCCCGATATACTAGAAAAGGTTGTACCTGTATATGGTCAGAACATTTGGGGGTTGTTTATTTTAGTATAAACATGATTGCCCAATTGAGATACATGTGCACAACCATAAAGTGGAGCAGGTGGAGAATGTCACAAGTATTGTACATCTTCTTTCTCATCTCGAGATCTAAATTACCATAAAATGGTAAAAGTGACTCATGTGGTGCCAATCTGTTAGAGAGACTCTTGAACTGATTGTAATAATCACCACTTTTTACTCCTCTCCAGTAGGCAGAAGTGAAACCTTTTCTTTTCGAAGATCATTCTTTTAAACCCTATATTAAGTCTGAAAATAAAATGAGCATGTGGGAAAGGGCAGTTGAGAGGACATGTCTGAGCTATAGTCATAGGTAATGATAAAAAGTGAACAATTATGATGATTCACTAGAGCCCAGGGCATAAGCTACAGACCGTGAAGACATTAACCTGCAGCAAGTCAGCAACACAGATGTGACCGTGGAAAAGGTGACTGAACCATGCCAAGGACTGGCTGAATGAGAACCAGGGCTGCCAGGTTTTCAAATGCCTACTCTTCCATGCATAGTTCATCTCATTTTCTGCATTTGAAAAGCTTATCTTGGGTTTTGTAGGCCCCTGGCACAGGAGGGTATGATCTAGCTGAATGTCTGAAGATTTGCTTATTCATTTAGCATAATTTAATTTAGGTGTCAGTACAAGCAGTCTGAAGAGACAAGTGCCTGAACGTTAGCCTCTGGCTTGGGCCATGAGTGAATCTGACTCTAGTTTGCTTTGCTGTTTGAAGGAAATCTCCAGATGAAAGAAGGCAAGCTCAGTTCATCTTGGCTTTCAACACTGGTTGTGTTGACAAAGCAAAAAAAAAAAAAACCACCTCTTCAAAAAACAATTTAACCAGCTGTGAATTATCAATATACGAGGTCATGTAGATTAGAGAGGTTTTGTAGCTGTCTCTTTTTAAAGCAAAAAACATAAGTTTGAAAATAAAGGGACAACTAAATAGTTACAGCACAGAATTTGGAGTTAGGACTTTGACATTCTTCTGGTTGTTTTAAGTCTCTGCCTCAGTTTTGTTTTCTGAAGTGGAAACTAATAATCTCAGGGGCAGCCTGGTAAACACATCTTTATTGGATGGCATATTTAAAAATTAGGAATTGTTATTACTGTGACTAGGAGAATGCATTCTTTGCAATTAATGACTGGATGGAGGGTCCAAGGTGAAAGAGAAAACTCAGCACAGCCAGTTACAATTTACATGAATATGACTAACCCAGAGGCAATTATTATTAATAATACTTTCATTTAATTCACACATGTATTACTTACCCTTCTTGCCCCATATATAATGCAGGTCACTTTGAGAAAAGCACAAATGCAAAAAAAAGGAGTGCAATTAAACAAACATTCTAGGTTAGTCTAAAAAATGCCAGATAAATATATATATATATTTTTAATCAAAACATTAGGCATAATTTAATAAAAGGAGAGAGGATGCCTAGAAAATAAAAGTGGGTGGTGACTCCACACAGATGTGACATTGAGTAATACTGAAATCACTCACAGAAAAATAAACCTGCAGATGTTAAAAGATATGTAGATGTGGCACCTAGTGACATGATTTAGTGGTGGTCTCAGCGGTATTGGCTTTGTGGTTGGACTCAGTGATCTTAAAGGTCTTTTCAAACCTAAATGGTCCTATGTTCTGTATAAGCCAAGACTTCTAGTCTTATAATTACTATAAACCATGAGATTTATGTGAATGTATAATGCGAATCACATTGTGATAGGCATTTCCTGATGCTGGATACCAGACTTGGCAAAGACCATTCTTAGCCTTTGAAAGCTCTTTTTAGCAAATGATCTCCAGCACTTTTTCTTTAAAAAAAAAAAAAAGAAGGCAAGCATTGTTACAGCAATTTTACCAGAAGGAAAGCAGCCTTGGAAAGCAAAACAAGCTGTTCTGGCCACAGAGGAAAGCACCTGCAGGTCTTGTAATACCATTCGCATTGATCAACTCCCAGTATAGCAACCAGTGCAGAGTCTGTGCCCCCTTGAAAAGCTCATCGGGTGCTCCTTTAGCAACCCCAGTATCTCCCTTCTCTGCCCCGAGGTCCAGGTGCACTTAACAGTGGTGGCCCAAATCATCTTTGCTGTAACTACTTGATTTATAAATTAAATGGATAAAAATAAATAAATAAAGCTCTATGCATGTCCTTCCATTTGAAAAAGCAGCTTAGGCTAATAGTGAAATGGAAGGGTAAAAGACTAATGATATTTATCTATTTCCTGTTTTCTTTACCTGTCTTCCCTGCAGCATTTTCATAATGCGCAGCGCAAAGGGACCTTGTCTGCACCTAGGTCTTTTGGGTCCTGCTGCAGCACAAGTAAACAAGCATAATAAAAATCTCATCTTGTATAAATATAAACCAGGCCAGCCTTCATTAGACTGGAAGGTGCCTGCCCCTGGCAATCTGTTTGAATATAAGCTATTTCTGCTCTCTCCTCCACTGCTCTGAAGATGTCAGACCGGGGACTTGGCAGCTGAACATATTTCCAGGCACCTCAATAGGTTTCTCAATTCTCTGACTTCTGACCTGGTGTTTCTGAGCATGGCTGAGATGAGCAGTAATTCCCTCATAAATGCTCCAGTGGCGGCGAGGCTTAATTGCTCAGCGGCATGAGAAAGTGT